TATGGGTGAGCCTGAAAACTGAAAAAGTACCTAAAAGTTTGTGTAAGATACAGGTAGACTCCTTTACCCCATGTATTCTCCCCCACTTCATACAACTGAGTTACCTTCTCTTATCTATTCTCATAGAAGACTGCCTGAGAGGAGTATTGTAAAATCTCCAGAGCAATTACATGGCCCAAATGGAGGGTGTGGGGTGGGGAACCTAGAATATTAACAATTGGATATTTCAGTGAATTGCCCCAATCCATGAAGACCACAATTTAACAAGCCCATTTTATATACACTGGGGTCCCACAAAATAGATTTGGTATCACATGAATACTGGCAACCAAGGATAACCAGATATTTGAAGAAAGCTCCCAATATAAATGGCTGAAAAAAATTTAAACACAAGCAAGAGGAATTTAGAAGAAGTAGAGATAACACAATGAGAAGACTACCAAAGTTCTGTTTTATAGACTTCTTAATGGAAGTGTAAATGTGGAAAACAGTTTGACAGTTTCTTATAAAGTTAAACATACCCCATCCAATGCAAAATTCTACTCCTAGGTAGATATTTACCTAATAAAGAAATTTCAGTAAATATGGTTTTAATGTTTTCAAAAATTATCTTCCTATTGCTTCATTGTTATCTCTAACTTTCCAGGGATTGAATTGCTGAATAAATCAGACTGCAATTATGTGGATTGGAATTTTATTACATTGAGATAAAGAACCTTCAGCCTCATTTCTTCACAGAAATAAATAAATGTTTACAACATCATCACTGAGTAGGGTGCCATGGTCTTATGAATCTCATGGCATATGTCTATTTTACATTTTTTAGCAGTTAAACACCTGGGAAAGGTTTGCTCATGCTATTACTGTTTTTCCATCCCCTACTAGGGGTGCATCGACAAAATCATAAAAAATAGATGGTTTCCCATAACTAAAGGACATAGGTTTATCACCTTGCATTTATCCTCCTTACTTCCTTTCTCAAAATTTTTCTATCTTTCATTTTTAAAAGTAATCTATAATTTTTATGCCCCAACATCTCCCACAATGTCCTTAATTTTCTCCTTGGCCCAGTGGCTGTATTTATTCAAATAGGTCTTACCTCTCACAGCTCTACTCCCTGCCACCTCAACTGTGTTCTCAATTCTCCCTGTTCCATTTCCAGCTGCACCATCCAGCTCCAATTCTGGGACTTCATGATTATCTTTCCAGGGGAAAAAAGTAAAAGCGTTAAAAAAAAAA